GTGAAAGGCTGACTCAAACCATGCCACCTCGTCAGGTTCAGTAACCAATTTTCCATGCCATCTTACTGGTAAAACCACTCAGGTTGAATCCCAGTACACCTGCTTCCCAAATCCACTGATGTTACACTCAGCTCTAGATGAGGGCCTGTTGATGTTTCTTTTAATAACTGGAGGTGAAAGTGAGACCATTCAACTTCTAAAAAATCCTCTCCCTTTCCTAAATCTCCAGCTATCCAACCCTTAAGTCTTAGAGTCCTGAAACTGGCTCTTGATTATTTTGAAAATTGTATACATGGTCTAGAATACTTTCCTTAGTATCTCATTTGTATCATATCTTGGGGCTTAGAGCTTCCAATGTACAACTTTTGCATGTTTCTCCCTATATTATACTTTTATATCTGGAGAAATTTAGTTTGCTCATTTTCTTCAGTATCTGGATCTGAATTATATATCTTTGTGGAAAAAAAGGAAACTAACTGTATGATACTTTTACTTTGCCCAAACAAATTACGCATATGTAACACACAAAGAATATATATGTTTATATGTATACATTATGTTCAAAAATGAAGTTTTAGAGACATTCTGAAAATATTCTTTTTTCAAATTTTGGAAGGTTCTCTTAACTATTTTTTCCTACTAGCACTGGAGATTGAGCCCAAGGCCTTTGTGCATACTGAGCTACATCATCAGCCCTTTTGAATTTTTAATTTTTGAAACACAGTCTTCCAGAATTACTAAGTGTTCCAGTCTTGGCTTGAACTTGTAATCATCCTGCTTCAGTTTCCCAGAGTGGTGGGATTATAGGTGTGCACCACACCCACTGACCTCTATTCATATTAAATACCAAAGTCTCAAAAAAAGATGAGAAAGACAGCTGAAGTGCTTCATAAAAGACTAAGCTCTTGAGCGTCTCTCATGTTTTGTAGGATCAGGTCTGTATCTGTCTGTGTCCACTTTATGATGGAAATCATTTGTTCCATATGCTGTTGCCTATTCGGAGTCTCAGAAACTGGAGATAAGTAAGAGGAAAAGTTACATCCAACTCTATTTACTATAGAATAATTGTTTTCCCCTTTAAATCAGGTTGCTGGGGTACAAACGGGTTTCTAGACAAATAAATTATTTTTATTTAACACTATCAGTTGGTGCATGGTACACATATTGCTTGGAAGCTCCTCTTCTTCCCTTTTACCTTATAAACACTTGATTGCAAAGTAAAAACATCTCTTCTATAAAGTTGCTCCTGGATTACTCTGCCTTTGACCTCAATTACTGTGTGCTATTTTCCCTAATCCTTCCTCATCCTGTACTCCTGCCCAAGGAATAAGTAAAGTGTTTGATACATAAAAGGTGGTTAAATGAACATATATAGCAATATCATGTAAGCCTTTTCAGACCAAAAGAGAAAATCCTATGATTATGGGGATCATTTTATTGTGAACATTAAAACACTAGTATATTTAATCTTTTACTATGTGTTCAGAAAGACATGCTATTTTGAATGGAACATTTAGGTCAATGTTTTATTTGGATCAATCAGTTCTGCTACACACTTTTTCTGAGTATGAAATGGCTAAATGATGATGTAACCTCTTTAAAAAAATATATATCCATCTATCCTTAATGCACAAAAACTTTCCCATTCTTTCTGGGGATAAATTGAGAACAAAGACTTTAGAGTTTTCTTTGTCAGGTATCTGTCACTGTTCAAATTCTTTGTATTACACATTTATATAATCAGTCTGATGTATAATGGTGAGCACATTTAACTATTTTCTTTGGGATATTATAGAATGATATTTGTGAAGATATTAAAGTCAGAAAAAGACAACCAAGGAAGTGAGATACTTGGAGACATCAATGTATTTTTAAAAGACTAAAACCTACATATATTTTTTGTCTTAACAACACACTTTTCAGGGTCAGTATTGTAGATCTCTGAATCCCAATCAAGTCACATATCAATAACATGCAGGTATATGCATCATAGGTAAATGAATGAGAGATAAGAGGAAGGGAAAACTATCTTTATGGAAATCTTCTATCTCACATCTTTTCTTGGAGAGCTGGGGAATCCTAATGTTCTTTTCTCTTTTTTGGCTGAAGAATTAATTTAAAGGTATAGTAGTATTCATATTAGTTCGGCCTGGCATTCTAAGGACAGGGAGTCTGCCAAGTAAAAAGAACCTCCAAATTTTGTCATGCTATAGCACACATTCTAAATGTTTACAAAGATACAGAAGAAAGAAAATGAAAATTTCTATAAAAAGAGAATTTAAACACCTTTATTTATCCATCTATTATGGCAGATCTTAACTTGTTTATAAGTACAGTGAAGTGTTGGACAATGTTCTGGTTTTTAATACTACACTTAAGTGGAAGACTCAGATAATCTGATCTAGCCTTTTGCTTTCACTCAAATGTGTGGAGGAATAACTATTACTTATTGGCATTTCTAAGGCTCTAACAGATGACATATTAGTAGATCAGAATAATAGTCTCTCAAGTGCACAGTCAACCCCTTTGATAAAAGGAACATATTAAATCATGGGAGGAATATGAAGTTTGGGAAATATCTGCATAAATTCAACATTTTTTCTCTCCACATTGAATTATGTATCTAATGTAGCATTTTCATTTGAAAGATGAAAAAAGTGAGACTTTTCCCAACTTCCACAGATATATTAATGAAAATACTACATTGAAATCCAAAGCTATACCTATATTCTAGTGGTAGTATTTTTTTCTAGCCACAATGGATTAAAAAATAATTTATGTTTGTGTAGCATTTGTCTTCAGTAGGTATTTGGCTCTATGTAATCCTATTGCTAACTTACTGAAACATTAATAGGAAGACCTTAGTGTCAAACATCAGATAATAAGAGAAAAAGAGACTCAAGATTTCCACCTTTCTTTAAGCCATCCTATGCATCTATAGAAGTTTAAACGTGTTCTATTTAGACATTCATCATATGCAATGAGTACTTATATTCTTCCATTTGTGCACAGCTCACTTATTTGTTGAATTTTCTTCTTTACCACGTGCTTCATAAAGATGTACAATATTAGTGTAAAACAAGGTTACTACTACTATTCACTAAAACAATAACAATTATAAATTGCTCTGAAGGTAATATTATCACCATTAACAGTCTGGTATTCTCATAATTGGAAATGATAATAGCTAGCACTGGGGCCAAGGATTTAGCTTAGTGGCACTGTGCCTGCCTTGCAAGCACAAGGTCCTGAGTTTGATATCCACAAAAAATTAGCACTAAAATAAAGCTTTCAAATTTCAAAAAGTATAATTCCATATGTAGATAAATTGTATTTATTTATCTAGCTCAAGCTGTCAAAATAGGAAAAAAGCTCTGTTCTTTGTGTGTTCTCTTTAGTACCTATCCTTACAAGTTGTGAAAAGGATTTTAAATGAATATATAACTATCATCATTGATAACATTCCTGTGAGTCAGGCAATATAGTAACCTTTGTTTTGGAACTACTAAGAGCATCTCACAACAGCAAGCACATGGCCAAGCTTAGCTTGAAATGTGATCATCTAACTGTACCTTTCTGTCCACTGTACCTTTCTATGTACACTGCTGCGACTGGATGTCGTGTTTTGATTTAACCAAGAAAACAGCATAGATACTGATGATCTAAGTTTATTTTTTGCAATGACTTCATCCAAAGTCACTCATATAGCACTTCCAAGCTTTGTGATTTCTTAGAAATGGACCACCTAAATAAAGTTGTTCTAAAAAGCTTGGAAACCACACACACACACACACACACACACACACGCACACGCACACACACAATCTTAGCATGGTAGTAAGATAATTGGTAAGGTAAAATCAGATTGGATAATGCCATGTTTTAAATACCATTAAATATCTAGAAATTCAAATATAATGGAAGCAGTTACTTGTAAAATGAAGAGCATGCATGGGCAGTGGAGTCAGCCAGATTTTTGCTATAGTCACAGGTATGCAGCTTTCTAGCAGGGTGATTTTTAGTAAAGTTGGTTAAAATGTCTAAGTCTTTTTTATCTTATGAAATGGGCATAATAATCTACTATCAACATTTGTTGTAGGGACTAGAAATAAAATAATGGGCCCAGAATAATTCCTGGCATATTAGTAGCTCAATAAATTACAGTTGTAGATTTTTTATGGTCATTATTATCTTTGCAATTATGTCTATATCAACATTGAGTATAGAATGAAAGTAATAAAAGGTGTTTTATTAGAAACCTTCCACTCCTATGCAGGGCTAATCATTATTATGAGGATGAAACAGTATTTTAAGTTAAAGAGAAGCACTTCCATTCCTTTCTAAAAAGCTAATTAGAAGTGAATTTACAGGAATTACAATAAGAATATTTTAACTAGAGAAAAATTACTTATGTAGAAAGATAAGCCTGGAAAATGGCTTACAATGTTAAACCTCTGGCTCCTTGAGCAAACTGTTTTATTTCTCTGCCTCTCAATTTCTGATGTAACAATAAAGGCTTTCTTTTTCAACTCAAAATTCTAGAGTTCTCTGAAATGCTCTTGAGAAACTCACCAACAGCAAATTCCAGTCTGGAAGAGAAATACATCTTTGTACACCCTCACTCAAGTGATATCAGAAGGGTACAGAATATATCAGTGTTGTCTGGGAACATGGAAGGGAGCAGAACAGTTGAGCTTATGGGTTAGGAGAATTCTTGGATGGTTCTCACTGGGGTCTGGAAGGTCAGCTGTTAAGAAAGCCTAATGCCAAAAATCTAGTCCTTAGAGTAATACAAAAAAGCAAAAGATAATTTCTTATGCTTGGATGGGAGTAGAAATCGCATGACTAGTTTTCTGCAGCACTGCACCAAAACAATCATTCTTAAAAGCTTCTGCAATATTTGTAAATATGGTAATAACCATATTGATGATAACAATGGCAGCTTGTATATATTGTTACACATAAGATATGGAACATAACATCATTTTTCTTATTTGCAGCAAAACCAAGGCAAATGCCCAGCCCAGAATTGTTCAGTGGACGCCCCTGCGTGGATGCCTGTCCATCACTGTTCTGTAAGTTTGATTGTTTCAACATTGGCCAAATTGAAAGAGAAATACTTTTATGTTTCAGAAAATCCTTAGAGAAATGACCTAGAATATTCATAGAGCAACTTTTTCTTTTAACAGAGCAAACTTTTGAAAGGAGAAACTGTGTATTTTCAAGAAATTACCACGATTAGGAATTCTGTGTATTTTTTGAGAGTCAGAATGACTAGCAAACGTTGTCTAAATGAGTTATTGATAAATTAGATTTACATTAAAATGAATATATATTTGCACATATATTTTTCTCAATTGCTGCATATTCAGCAATATTTGATTTTAGATGCCTTAGAGAGGAATGCTTCCTCTTCTAAATCATTGTTTTGTTGATTGCATAACAGTGATGAGTAAGTGGACTTGTATTTTCAAGTCTTCCTGTAATTATACTCCCTGTGTTTGTGTAGAATTTTCTATCAGAGAATTTTTTAAGTGCCTTGGCAAAAAACAGGTACTATGTCATTATCCATATCTTATAGATTTGTGTCTTGTGGACATAAATATGAAAGGGGTAAGAATAGCACATCAATTGCAGATCTGGCAATAGATACCAGATACCCCTATGTCTCCTTTCAGGTACTTGTTCTGCTACATTATGCTCTAAAGTAAATGAAGGAAGCAGCTGATTTGTATGATACACTCTTATACTTGCATTGCCTGATAGAAATGACAGTGGTTCCTCAGGGAACTGTATGTGCTATAACTGACAATTTGCACGTCATGGAATGATGTGTATGAGATTGGGACAAGAAATAAGATAATTTTTTTGCATTCTCCTCATTTGACCCTCCTTGCAGGCATTGTAAAGGTGATGTATGGTTCTTCTTCAATATCTGCATCTGTCAGTGCACACGTTGCTGAAAGCTTCAGCAGGGCTACCATAGCAGGCCTTAGGACTGCGCTAAAGGCAGTGGGCCTGAGAGAAGTTGCTTTCCATTCAGGTCATGTAAGGAATGAAGCATCTTTTCTTGGCTTTAGTTTATCTGTGAAAGAAGAAGGTGAAGGAGATGATGATACTAAATTTTGGAGAGATTCCTGCAGTGCAGAGGCAGCCCAGACTTGCAAAAGACTAGGAGAATAAAAATGTCAAACTTCTGTAAGCAGATGGCCAGAGAGGAGTGCATGCTTAGGGATTCTGCTGATGATAGAGAAAGAATAAGTTTAATGATTTTATACTTCATCAGTTAATCCTTTCATTATATTCTCAGTGATTCTATCTGATAATTGCTGACTTGCGTATCTGCTTCTACAGAAACTACAGATTCTTATGGTACTTACACCTTGGTTAACCCCTGGTACATGGTTGGTGCTCTGCAAGTGAAGGCCCAATTTTAATTCTTCAGTGTATTGCTTTCCTGTGAATATGCTTTGTCCCTTTCTAGAACTGATTGTGAAATTTAGTCCCCATTGTCATGTATTAAGAGAGCAGAAACTTAAATATGATATTTTATGGTGGGAACTTTTGGAGGTGCTTAGGATTAGACAAGGTCATCAGCATGGGACCCCTATGACTGAATCCTGGTGGTTTTTATAAGAGGCGAAGAGATCTGCTGCTCCCTGTGTGCTCCCTACTGTCCTCATGTGATGCCCCATGTTGTCTGGGAAAGCCAGAAAGAAGACCACCACCAGATGTGGCTGATCTTAGACCAGACTCATGAGCAAAATTCTTTGTGACTTACCCAGTCTTTGGCATTGTATCTTTAGCAGAGGAAAAAAGACTATGATAGTATATTTCAGTAAATTGTTTTTACAATTCTGATTTCTTTGTAAGGAGAAATAGTAATGCTTTCTGACCATTATAGGTTGTTAATTTTTATTTCTCTCTTTCATGGGTATTTTTACACCTTTCTTCTCACTGCAAACCACAGGATATGTGTTTTGAGAAATTTTGTCTTTAAACTAGTCAGAATACAGTAATTCATTCAGCTATGTCTGATACTATGCCATTGCTGGTGATGCAAACACGAATAAGACACCACTCCTATTTTTATCAAACATGCCCATCTATAACTTCAATATGAATTTCTAATTAGTAACATTCTTCACTACACTGATGATTTCAACCCAAACTAAAAGAAACTTGATGACTTACTTACCTTGTATAGTATTATTGCAAGAAGCAACCAGACTTTTGGCCTATTAGGAAATATTAATAGCAGTAATCGGGATCTAGGAATTCCAGATTAGGTCCTTCTATTGTGAGACCTTAAGAACTAGAGCAATAACTAGTTTAAGACTATTCCTGAGGACCACAAGTCAAAAATGCCTAGTTTAAAATCTGATTCTCAGTTCTGTGGTCAGGTGAGAGCAACAGCAAGATATTTCCTATTACCTCTGCCACAGAACTGGGAGCTGCTGGCTTCATAAATTTCCTTTGTCATTTATGTAAATGTTGTAATGATTATATGCTTTTAGTAGGACGGACATGATCTGGAGGAGTAGTGCAATGTGTAATGATCTGCTTCTCTGCAGGTGACCCTGATCCACAGAGGTGGACTCCCAGGGGCCATGTTTAGATGAGTGGGCCTGGCCTTGGCTGTAAATGAATGATCCAGGTGTGAACATTTATTCTAAGCAGTGGCAGGTGGATTCTTGCTCCTGAGAATCTGACATTTATCTTAGAGAGATATTGTCATGGTTTAGATCTGAAATATTCCCCCAAAGCCTCATATATTCAAAAGTAGGGATATTGGAAGATGACTGCATAATGAGGATGTTATATTTATCAGTGGATTAATCTGTTGATGAGTTCATGGATGAATGTGTTATTAGGAGACAAGACTTTGTTAGAAGAGGCAGGTAACTGGGGCAAAAACGTGGAGGGTTATATTCTTGTTTCCCTGCTCCTTTCTTCTTCCTGGATGGTGTGAGGTAAATAACTTTCCCTTCAATGTGTCTTTCACCACAATCTTTCTGTCTTGGAGCCCATCAGTCAAGGACTGAATCCTCTGAATGATAAGCCAAATTAAGCATCTGTTTCTTTAAGTTGTGGGTATTGGGTAGTGTATCCCAGTGAAGGGAAAGTGACTATACATATAATAAATTGGTAGTCATCCCTATTAAATCATATGAATGGTATTTCTATGGGTAACTTTCTGTGAATCTCAGTTGCTAAGATCCCTGGAGCTGCTCTCCAGAGGGTTTTTACCCTACTCTGACTATATGAAAATGTCCTAATAGCTTGCTGATAAACATTAAATTAATTTCTTCTCAAAATGTTTCGATTTTTAAAATTTTATTTGGGATTTATTTTTTATTTACTTACGAGCAAAAAGGAAAAAACTCATTAAGTAATACACTCAGTCAGCATCATTTTTGGAGCCTACGTGCCTTATTCTGAAAGCTTAAGTAATGAGTAGTAGTCTCAGACAGAAAGAAGCAATATAAGCACTGGGATTTTGATAATTTATGAGTCTATTCATGTGAAATATCTGACTGTATATAACACTGATGCACTTTTAAAATGACCAATGACTAATTTGATAATAACTTAATTATAGGATGAGAAACATTGGCAGCTAACATATAGTTAGCATACATGTATTTATATAACAAAGAACTGCATATGATATGTAAAGTCACCTAGTATTCATTTTTATTTTGTCATCTCTCAGTAAATGGTGAAATTCATACCTTCACATTTTTAAGACAATGTCTCAAATTCTACAAGCAGTGAATAAAGTTATCAATAAATATGTTCTTACATGCATAATTAGTGGATCATCGCTATTATTTGGGTGCCTTTTTCAAGTTCACTTGGTTCTCTCCTAACATTACTTTTTCTACTGCATTATTCTTCTTCCTTTGTGTTTTGTCTGGAATGATTGTATCCTTGTAATTAGACTTTATTACTTTCTGCAAACAAACAAACAAACCAACCCCCCAAAAAAAAGTTTTAGTCTTCTTGTGATCATTTACCCCAAGTTCATTTTTTAAAAATTAATTTTATTGGTGCATTTTAGGTATATCGTATAATGAAATTCATCACTGGAAATTTGTACCTTTACATAATCAATCTTGGTTCTTATTTTTTTCCCTATTTCCCTGACCTCTCTTCAACCCCTCCAACACATCCCTATTTACAAAGACTTTGTTTCCATTTTTTCATTTTCTTGTATTAATTCTGTCCTCTTCCTTCCTTTCCCCTACCCTCCCACTTCTTCTTCCCCTTTGCCCTTTTCTTCCTATATTGTGTTCAGAGCATTTTTCACTGGTTTTCCTAAGAAGACTTATTTTTCAAAGTTGCTTTGAAAATGCCTGATAAAGGCTTCTACTGCTGTTTGTTCACTTTCTTCCAAGTTATTCCCATCTTTGTCTTTTCATGCTTATGTAGTAGTGGGTCAGAGAGGTTTTTCTTTTCTTTATTTTGTTAAAGGATTTTTACTTTTAGTCAGAATTGTAATGTGAGATTAAGATTTAAGTTAAAAACAAAAATTTCCCCAAGTAATTATGCATAATCATAGCTACAATTATACATCTTGATTGACTATAAATGAACTATCTTTCCTAGCGAGAATAGTGAGAGTGTGTCTTTCATTATATGACCACATTATGCACTGGAACAATACAATTCCTTATCGCTATACTTTAAATTTAATTTGGTTGTATTCCTTATTGGCTTGTATGACCATGAATATGAGCACAGTATTTATCTGAAACACTACTACTTTTAAATAATTGAGAAAATACCCATGGGTTCTAAGACCCAGGTGAAGAACTACGGATCTCTAAATTTTTAGTGAGCTAGGCTAAGAATTAGTTCCTAGAACTTGAAAAATAAAGAAGATTGGTTTTGACCAGCTGTAGGAGACTTGAATGACTGCTGCATTTCAGGGCATGTCCCTGGACCACTCAATACAGCTACAGCCTATGTATGGATTTGATCATTTTGAGGAGGACTCTTAACCCACTCCCTAGTTAATGGCTGTAATGTGTAATTTTTATTGATTAGACATATATTGTACAAATACTTA